TTTGGGCAAAATCTGAACATATGGAGGACTGCTCTCTTTGCAGACACATGAGGAAAAAGAATGATCAAAAAGGGTATCGAAGCAGTGTGGGGGATATTAACAGGAGGGCTCCTTGATCAGTCAAAAGATACTTCAGTCTGTAAAGAGTTCATGAATGGTCACAGCCCACCAGCAAAGACGGGCTGTGAACATGGCAAGAAACATTCAAATAGGGATGTGGAAGTTTGACAGAAATGTGGGACGTCGGCTCCCAGTGCGGGTGAGGACCAGGGTGGTACGTTACTGTGGGTGTTAGCCCTCGTGAGCACAAAGGAACCAGAGCAGTTCCCTCATGCTCTTCTCACTGCTGAGTGGTGATCTATAGCCCCAAATGACCCGAGAAGGAAAAATATTCTACGGAGCACTAACAAGTAGCTGTTAGTACAATTTGCAAGTATTAAGATACCTAAAATATACTGCAAATCCCTACKTTTTTTAGTCAAGAATCACTGCTACCTTGCATCTCTTTGACTTAAAGAAGSATCATAACTACATTGGGTGGTTCTGTGCTTGGGTTCCTTAGGCTTACTGATCAATCACAACCCAGTATCACAGTAACCTGGTTATGCTGGTGACACCTACAGTAACTGTCTGGGGCTGAGGCCAAAAGCCATGAAACAGCCTGGGCCATTAAAGTCTTTGGACTTCATAAGGAGACYGTTTGCATCCGGTCTTCTGGAAACAGCCACTGGCCCATAGTAAAACACACCTAGGAATTTGGGGAAAAGAACTGGTGGGCCTGGCCAAACTGAAGTGCTCTGTTCAGTGCACTGATAGACATATAAACAGATTTTCTCAGCCAAACACTATCTCCACAAGGCACATTGCTGTGCAAAATGAACTTGAGACAAGTCTCTCAAGTTATTTCTAACACAATGCTCCATGAYGATACGTCCAGGGTCCCCATTGCCAGAACTCCTTATTCTCCCAGAAAAAAACAGAATTCTGTATAGTTCACTAGATCTTCTGTTGCCTGCATCTTTGGCTTGCCTAGGACTGATGGTATGGCACCTGTTATAGCACACTTCTTCCCTGCCTTCTATATCTAGAAATAATTGTTTCATCTAAGAGTTATATTTAACAGCTTCTCTGCTTTCCTTCCCCAAAGAAAGTGTCCTACAGAGCACATGGAGGGTCTTTTAGCTGAAGCACAGTGTGCTAGTCAGGAGAGTTAAATTTGTAGTTCTGTCACATGATTCTTCTCTCCATATTCCTGTGGGTTGGATTACAATCTGTTTCACTGATGTAAATCCAAAGCAAGTCCACTACCTTCACTACCCTTGTCCTTCTAAAGACACCTGCAGTGAAATAACTTAAGAGCATCTTGTCTCGAAACAAGTTGCTCTAAATTTCTAGTAGAACGTGTGACTGAAATCTGAGGACAGACTCCTAGGCCTCAGTTGTAACTACCATACTGGGGAGCTTATTAACAACAACAGTGCTTGAGGCCCCAGGGAGAGACCTCAACACATCACGACARGGCGTCATTTACAACCTTCCAAATGTATCTGATCAAGCAGGTGCCTTTGCACCTCGTTCACTACTTGGCACACAGCAGTGTCCAGGGGCATGGATGCATCAGCTAACACATCAGGGCATCCAAAGCACTAGGTAACCCTCCCTATCCACCGAGGGCCCTGGAGCTCTTAACTAACCATGGAAGAAACCTAAAAGATTCACTAAAACCAAACGCTCAGCTTTCCCTCAGCTAGCAGACATGAAGTTTATTCCCTCTGGATCTGAACCAGCTCTCCTGGCCAACAAGATGCTCTTTAAAGCCTACTTACATGTTGCTTTCAGTGCCTGGCTCGAGCGTAACACTGGCCTCTGCCAGGAATTCACTCAAAGAATTGAATCATCCACCTATCACATCTGATTAGAAACAGTGGYTCAATGTCAACTTGTGACAAAAAGCTCAATTTTTTATTATTTGGATGTCAAATCACAGACAAATTTTAAATCTTGACATGTCCAGAGTGATGGATAGATATATAGAAAGTTAACRTCTCAGCAAAAAGAGAAGAAACTCCAAGGCTGCCTTAATGCCCTAAATAGGGTTCAGCAGCAGTAGTTTGTATTCCCCAATTTCACATAAACAGAAGCAATATGTGACAAGTGCCTGGTGTCTAATACTGAGGGACTATCACACAAATGACAAAGTGATAAAAACTGAATCCCTTCAAGCTACAAGGATGAAACAATAGCAAGAGAAAAAAATAATGAAACAAAAGATCATTTAAAGCAGTCTATACATGAATTAATATTTTTAAGTGGRTAGTAAGCAGTGTTCTTTTCTATAGACTATTTTGACTTCAATTAATATCTGTATTCTTCTATTTTAGAACCTCACAGTTTACAGAACTGTAACAAAGAAAGGATTTTTTTTTAAACCATTTCAACAGGTAAAAAGCCCATCCACTTTTCAACAAGTGAACAGGCTGAAGTAACTCTGGTGACCTATCCAGGCTCTCACTGGTAGCTACAGCACAATCAAAGATCAACATAAGCTCCATAGAAATTAACTTAGGGAACTGACAACCACTGGAGGAAGAGAAGGGATGGAACAATCCCCCTCAACTATTAACTGCAAACAAACAGAAAGGAATTTCCTTAATATAGGCTAACAATTAACTGCTGCAAAGTGCAGAGCGTTCCTAAGCATCAAATATCTCTTGATTCTCCATTCTGAAATGGAACTCTCTATATAGCTGGACTATTTCTTGGCACTTAGGGGCTACAAAATAAATATTATAATTTGCCTTCTTGCTAAAATTGGTCAAAATACTAAGCAATCAAGTACTAGAGAATTTGGTTTGCATGACAGAAACCTAAATACAGAGCTTTTATTTAACTTATGCAGGAAAAAAGTAGTTCAATAGTGTCTCCCCACTTCCTCCAAAAATATGATGAATTCTTTTAAATGTAAGTGGAAAAGCCTCTAATTTGCTATTTCAARTAATTTTGAAATAGAGCATATTTTGAAATAGAGAGAGAGCATTCCTATAGAACAAATCCTGAAACACTGGGAGCCAGACCCAAACACAATTGCAGAATCAAAATGTAAAGCTTTATGTCTCAGAAACTACACAATTTCCTCATTCATTTTGCTTCACTCCGGATTCCATTTGTGAATGCAATGAATTCAGCTCACACTTCACCAGTGGCAGCAAGAATCTGGCCAATGTTTCAAAATTATATAACAAACAACTTCTATTTTTTTTTTGAAGTTTATGTCAGCTTGAACATTTCAGCCTCAGAGATATGGAATGACACAGAAAACTGCTATGCTGTTTGRAGTAGGGATAGCAAATTAAAGTACGTATGGTTTGTAAAAATAAATAAATAAATAAACAAGAATACTTGAAAATGCCCATTTCTACAATTCTTWCACTTAAGCTTTTTAGCATTTTTCATTATAATTTATATACAACCAATAATTTATCTACAGTTCTTTAAACATATACTCCTCCTTCCTTAATTTTTTTCTTCCACGTTTTTACTTGTTTACTTTCTAATCCAAGAAAAACAAACAAACAAACAAAAACCAAGTTCTTATTCCTAGAAGACTGAATTTTAAGGTACAAAAAAATCACTGATTGAATTATTATCACATAGCTCTCCACTAAAAGATTTTAGTAACAGATGAAACCAGGGGTTATTTTGAGCAAAAAGTCACAGATAAATTTCCCAAGAAAATGCACAGTGTACAGGCAGCATCCCTAGGACCAGAGTTAGTGAAACTCTTTCAAATCCCATTAATAAACAGTCAATATAAATTGTTATTCCTTTTATTGCGGTATTTGATAACACCACCTCAATCTATTCTTAATGGATTCTGTAACTTAAACCACACTRTTGTTGTTCTGCAGCCTCTTTGCCCTTTCTACCTACTGGGGCAACTGCAGGAATATGAAGGTATCTTCTAAAGGATTGTGTGGATGGTTTTAAAACTGTAACTSATCATTTCTGAAGCAGAGCTTTACCTGCTCTGCAGCTAGAAACCACAGCAAAGCCTTAAGAAACCATGCCATTTGAAGCATTTAATGTTTTAGATTTACTAGTTGCTTTAAACAGTTTTAATGCTACGGATTCTGTCTAAGAGCTCACGCATCAGCACATACCATCACCAGGATGACACTGGCTCGCAGTGCCTGGATTTGCTGTATAGCCACTATACATTACTGTTACACTTGATGTCAAACTCCTCCTGAGCTGCTTTGACAGTTGTCTCTCCTAATACCCAGGGCATTCACAGAACAATGGCTCAACTTCAAAACGTTTTTTTTTTTAACCGTAGGGTAACTGGAGAGCAAAAGAAAGCAGTTCAGTTCAGCAAGGGCTATTATTGGATATAGATAAAGGGCAGATCTTTACTACAAGTAAATGCAAATGCTGTGAACAGTTGGTTTGGTGAGAAAACTGAAATATAAACATTGTGAAACAGACACACCCATCATGTTTATCATACTAAAATAGTTGCTAAATAGAATGAAAAATATCAATGTAGCAGTCTTTTTGTTGTTGTTGTTGTTTCTCCCAAAATAAACTTCAGGGAAAAACACTACAGCTATTGATGACCATACATCATGATTAAAATTCCTCCAGCAGCCTGTTCCACTAAACTCCTTCTTTCAGTGACAAGTCTACAATGAAGATGCATCATAAAATCATCAGCTTTAACACCTCYTGGGTGCCAGACATAAGCAGCTGTCTTGCTGATCACTAAGGTCTAACTGAAGGATAATGTCACCATCTGGGTCAAATCCTTCCGAGTGCCCCTCCCAGCAAAAGGCAGGTTTTCCTATTCCCGATAAGCTCAGCAAATTAAGAGTGACTTGACCCATCAGGGATTTTTCCTTGGAGCTTTCAGCCAGCCATGAATTCACTGACTATTCTATCCAAACTTCCCAAAGCTAAAAAGCTCTTGTCCCAACAACTAGGAAGGGGCTCAAGATGTTTACCTTTATGCTGATGTCATGCACACAAGAAGTAAGAGATTCACCCATAGGTGTTTCTAAAATACTGCAATAATTTATAGTGAAAGGAAAAGAAATCTACAACTTTTGAAAAGACAGAACATATGAAGTTGCATAATGGAAYGGATGATTCCATTTTCATCTAAAACTCATAAAAAGACTCTAATATTGCTGCTTCAGTTTGGGTGCAGTGCCACCCCTTTGCAACCAAGGGTCACTTTTACAGCCCTGCTCTGCTCTCGGTGCCCTATTCGAGCAGTGTACCCTGTCACCACCCCCTGACTGTCACCGCTTTTACTCGCATTAGCTCGAGATCAGGGTGCGCTCTTCACAGCAGGTGAAGCCCTCCTCGACCCCCGCACCGCACTTACGGGTTGAACTGTCGCTCTCGTTGCCTTTTTGGCCTCCCTTACGGGTAGGGGAGCCCCAGGAGAGCTCGGCCGGTCGCTGCGGCGGGACTCGGCGGAGCAGCCACCCCGTCCCGGGCTGCTGCAAGCCTGGCCGACCCCTGCGGCTCCCTGCTGGGGCTCCCCAGCAGCCAGCCCGCGGTTCCCGCACCAAGGCAGGCTGGCGCGGGCGCCTCCCGCCCTCGCATCCCCGCTCAACAACAAGTGCTCCGGCGGGACGGGGCAAACGCAAGCGGTGAGCGCGGCGCCGCGGGGCCTGCGAGGCGCCCTGCGGACACGGCTCCCGCCGCGGCATCGCGCGGCAGGAGGAGCAGGACGAGGAGMGGGGGGCATCGCGCAGCCCCCGGGCAGGAGGATGGCGAGGCGGGCGCGGCCGCCGCGCACAGAAGCCCGCGGAGCCGCAAGCGCCGGCGGCGGCCGCGGGGGAAGCGACTCACCCGCCCGTCTCGGCTCCCGAGTCCACGCAGTCATCCTCGCCGCCCGCCTTCCTCTCCATGGCGCCGTCAGGGCTCCATGCCGGCCGGGGCCGCCTCTCCCGCGCGCCGCCGCTGCGGCCCGGCCTCCTGCGGCGGGGCGGGGCGGGGCGGGGCGCGCCGGCCGTTAACGGCTCTTAACGGTCGCGGAGGCGGCTGCCGCCTCAGCGGGGTCCAAATGCTGCCGCCCTGGGTTCCAGCCGCCGCCAGAAACTCCTCGCGGCTCATCGACTGCCAAACTCCTTTTGTCACTGAAATGATTTTCCTTTTTTTTTTTTTTTTT